AAGCCATTTTCTAGATTTAGAAAATATACGTAGGTAATAAATTAAATGCGTAGGCGACAAATAGCAGTTGCATCAATTAGTCAAAAACCGATTTAAGTTGTAAAATAAACGAGAACCAATTAGTCCTTATCAAACTAAAGCAACTGTGCCGTAAATAAAACAACAGTTGCAACAATTAGTCCTTATCAATAGGCAGATTAGCCGAGTTATCTCTTAAACATCCACTAGTGATGTAATATGAAATTCAAATTGTAACAGAAAAAATCTACTAAAATTAGTTGAAAATTTAAAAAGACTAAAGACTAAAAAGTAGAAAACTGATAAAAAGAAAAAAGATAACCAAAAAATTTCACTCTCTAAAATGGACGAGTACGAAGCAGAACTGCTTAACATGCAGGGTGCTCCACCTCCTCCGCCTATGGAGTACCATTTTAGTGAGGCTCAAATGCGCCAAATATACAACGCAATTAATCTTCTTGAGCAAAAACTCGATAAAAAGCTAGACACAATAATAGAACGTCTAAACCCTGCACGATCTATTTGCGCATTTTGTCCTGATGACAACACTCATGTAACCTACACATGCAAAAATTTCATTGACCCTATTCTCAGAACTAAAAGGCTCGGTGATTTGAAAAAATGCATCTTATGCTTGAAGCCAGAACACCCAAATCCTTGTTCACAGAAATGCGCCAAATGTCAGGGCCAACACAATCGAGTATTGTGTAATTCGTATAAAAGACGCAAACATTAATCAGTGTCAGATAGGTCCTTAAATACGAAGAAAATTTTGCTGCTAATTCTTATTCATCTCCTGCCTAGTCTTATTCATCTCCTGCCTAGTCTTGCTCATCTCCTGATCGACTCCTGCTCATCTACTACCCAATTCTTACTCATTTCCTGCACGATTGTTATTATTCGACGTCTCAAGTCTTATCATATTCTGCTCAATCTAATTCGGAATATAGCGTAATCTAGTTCGAAACTTGGAACAATCGCTTACATTTCAAACACTTCACGGATCCTAACATTCTGATTATTTCATTCATCATCAAGAGTTACCGGAGCAACATGGAAATTTATCAAAAATTCGCTCTGCTCCACAAAGTTAATGCTGCTTGCAACCTTCCAGTTGGAAACTTCGAAGAGAGGATGGATGTTTTGGACTCCATAGAGAAGTATTATGCACCCCACGTTTTTGAAAGCTACTCGCTCATGAGAAGATTATTGGTTCCTGTTATCATCGCCGAATTCGCAAGACCCAAGCTAGACCCGTGGACCGAGATGCAGAACATGCTACTACAACGAAAGGTGCTAGGTTGTACCGTCGTCGCCCTGTCAACCATCGTCGCGGCCGGACTGTTCTGGTGGACCAGAGGAAATCTCTAATACACACGAACAACTGTTCGAGAGTATAAAAAGCTAATAGGAGTAGAAAATAGTCATTGTTGTTAACTTGCTGCTGTTAAGACATTAAGAGATAGCTTTACGTTTTTGCTTTGCTTCGTTATTATAATT